CTGGCTGCACAATAACCCAGGTCAGGAGTGAGAGCAATGCTGAATAAGCCTTTCCTTGCCCAGAGACCTTTGTGCTTGTGATCAGCAATAAAAGGCTGTACTTGGAATTTAAAACCTCAGCCAGGTGAAATACCATAGATGATTATTTAAAGGCTTTAAATAAAAAAAAAAAAGCTGTCTGTCTGTAAGAACCAGCTTTTCACATTCACATTGTATGGCTGTGGACTCATAGCTGGGTTATGAAAGCAGCCCAAAATAAGATGAGATATAATAAAACACAAGCTGGGCTTAAGGAAGAATTGATTTCTGACAGCAGTTCTCAATGTTTTAAACACTAGCTGCAGACCTCATATATTTCTGAATTTAATTGCACAGTTCCCAGTGATTTAACTTTATGAAAATTTACATATTTCCATGCTCAGAATTTGAAAAGCTCTTACAACAAGAAACTTTGGTTGACATAAACACAGTTCAAAGAAAACAGTATTTTTTTTCCAAACTAAGTCACTGGCAGCAGATGACTGACATCCTACATGTGCTGAATATATCCTGTACCTCTTAAGCTCTTCTGCTGTGAATTCCTTTCTATGTTGTATTTCTACAATGTGGATTTTAACTTGTGAGGTGAGAACTAGAGGAAAATAGATAGCTAAATAAATACAAAAGAAAATTTGCCAGATGTGCTTTAGATACATGAAAGGACTGAAAATTAAAGAAAACAACCAATATAAATGAGAAGGTCAGAACTTCAGATGGGATGAGCCAGCACAGGGGGTGGAGGAAGCTGATTTTCAAGGAAGGATGAGGAGGAGCTTGGGCTGATGGACACAGAGGGCAGGTGCAGGGTGTGAAGGACAAATGGCACAAAACTCGTTACTGGGAGGATTTGAGTTTCTGTAACTAAAATACAGGACACTCCGAGCACTACAGTCCTCAGCAATGTCACTGTTTACAAACATAATCTTAATTTTTAGACTTTTGGTTTAATCCATATCCAATTTTTCAAAATAATAGCATGCATCCTTAGCAAAGAAGTCATTACACTGCTAATTCCAGATAAGTAAAGCCCAACTTTACTTTGTTTCCTTCTGGAGCAATATGCCACTCAAGTTCATCTTTCACAAATGCTTCTACAAGGCACAAAGACTTTATATTATTTCATAAAATAGCATATTTTATATTTTCCTTTTCTCCTTTGTTACTTTCTTTTTTCTCTTTTCTTTTATTTTCTTTTTCCTTCTTCCCAAACTACACCCACAGTCCCGACTGACACTTTCAATTGGAATAACAGGCAGCCAGACAAGAATGGCAGAAGAAACTTTATCTTAAGTATTTATTGTTATGCTAGAATATCACTCAGTTTCCTCTGGGGTAATTCAGCACTCTTGTGGGAAATGTGTGAACTCATTTGCATTTTCTAATTGAATTGCTATCAGGTTTCCTGCAAGACTGAACAAAAAAGTTCCTTGAGTTACTAACATCACTTGTATTAACCAAAAAAAAAAAAAAGTTTACATTCAAATGTTTGCTGGGGAGGAGGGGAAATGTATGCTTCATGTATCATAAAATACATTTTTAAAGTATTTGCTTTATTCTCTATCATTTCACCCTACTAGCATGACACTTTAATGTAGTAGTTAGAACTCTTTCCTTACAGTGTTTTTCACTAAAAACTGACAGGTTACTCAGTCATCTCAAGCAATCAGCACATTTGTAAGGCCAGCACAGTGAAAGAGGGGAATTGTCACCGTGTTGGATCCCTCCCCATTAAAATGTCAGGCTGCATCAAGAGCAAGGCTCAGCTGGGGGATCAGGGACACAGGTATGGACACCAAACCTGGTTTTGCAGTGAAAGCACACAAGGACTGGCTCAACAAGAAATGATCTTCTGCCTTGGAAGCCTCTGGCCACCACCAAAGCAGCTTTTTGCATAGATTTTCAGTCCTGGATACTGTGACATGAAAGGATCACAGCTCCAAAGGATCATTTGTTGGTGGATAAATCCTCTGTGCTCTCCTGGAAAGCAGACCACTGTCCCCACTGTGCAGGCAGGCTCACTCCTGCCCCCCCAAAATCTCAGCCAGCATCCCAAAAACATTGATTTCTCCCGTAACATTTATTGTGTATTATAACCTCCACAATAAACCAAATGTCTAATAATGGCCATTCTAGGGAGGCTGGTTTTGATGCAGTTTTAATCCCTGGATAATCATGAACTAAATTCTGATTTATCCTTTCAGAGGGGGTTCTGAAGGGCACCAAGCCCCCTGTCATGAAGGGCTGCCCTTGCTGAGGGCCATTGCTCATTGAGCTGAGGAGGAACAAGGTAAAAGGACTTTTTTTTGTGTTATAGGTACCAACAAACAGTGATCAGCAGGTGCAGTAACTGAATTTTATGCCAATTATTTATAATGTCTTGGAACTGTTCAGCATTTTTGCAAAATCAGTCACAAGTTTACAAAGTAAAATGGAAATAAATGGATGAGCCAGAAGAAAACTGGTCTTACTCCCTCTCTCAGGTCACCTCCTCCTTTCTCTCCCACATTTGCCATCTCTATATCCTGAGTATAACAAAACAATCTGAAATGTCTTTAAAAATACATATATATACAGTTCTGCTTGAGTCATATTATTCTACACAAAACCAAATGCGAAATCTGCCTCTAGTAAAAGCCACAAAACATATAAGGGTCATGGCCTGAAACATATTGAACTAGATATTGTAAGGTTTGGGGTGCTTTTTTCTGCACAAACACTATTATTTTTTAAAATAATCTCATAATCATATTTATTTCTTTAGTAAACAAAGGATTAGTTTGCTTGCAAAAACCACAGGCATTTAAATAAAACACAAGTCAGATGCCTGCTATGGGGACCCACAATAAAACTGCTTATGACCTTGTCATTACTCTTGTTTTCTGTATTTTTCCAGCCTCAAACTACACTCTAATAAGGCTTTTAGAAAGGAAGGATATGAATTTTAAGAAGCTTAGCTCTCTGTTTTCAACCAGAGTTCAGATTACATTAACATTAGATGAATTTCCAACCAAATATTCAACTAAAACAGAAATGTGTGCTTATTCAGGTTTTTTTTTTCTACTACACTGAGAAGAAATTTAAAGCAGTATGTAAGACGTCTTACTTTGTTCCTTCAATATTTAATTACTTTTAGAAGGAAGCAGTATTTCTTTGGTTAGAAATGGCAAATAGAGTTGACAATAACAAACAGGGCTTAATTACATCTTGCACAAGCCCAAGCCTTACTGAACAGCTGCAGAAGTATATTCATATGACTCTAAGCCCTGCAAAACCTTAGGGGTCAGCCCACTGGGTAAGTGAGAGATTTAAGTTTGTCCAAGTTTTTCCTTTTTGTCTCAAAAGTGGCACAGAGTTACAGGGTGGAATTCTAACAACTTGACACGGGAAGTCTCTCCTTCTTTCCCCACCCTGCCCTGCACTCTCTGTCCAAGCAGACAGGATGACAGCACAGGCCAGTCTTGCTGTTTAGACCATTACTGGGGTACATGAAATCAAATTTCAGCCACAGCCAAGAGACCTCATCCATCCCTGAAGGAGCCATGGCTGCTCCCAGGACACACACCTTCATCCTTACTCTGCAGGTCCTCAAGAACCAGCAATAAACCAGGCTCTTGAGACAATTCCCTGCCAAATCCTGCCCTAATGTCACCACCCAAGCAGCCCAGCATTGCATCATTTCAGCCAGCACCAGAGAAGATAACTGAATTTATGTCGTATAGTAAAAGATCATCAGGCCAGACCAGCACTGAAAATGAGAAGGTGAACCGCTGCAGCAAAAAATGAAATGGAAGAGGTGGGAAGTGATAGCTACACCAGGGGCAGAGCAGAAGAAATGTGTTTTCATGGAGCAGCCCCCAATTGCCGTGGCTCTGTGCAGCCCACCAGCAGATCTTCACTGAAGGAACACTGCTCTCAGACAGCGCAGGGACAGAGCCCTCCTGCTTTTCAGCTGAGCGTACAGAACTAAAGCAGAAAGAAGGCAGCTGTACCCTTCTGACTGCAGGGCTGGCTCTGGGTTTCTATGCTGGGGTGGGCGAGGGAAGCTGCTGGCACGAGCAGAGGGAGGTTTGGCAGCGCCGCGCCGCCTGCCCCGCGTGTCAGCACGTGTCCCTTATCAGGCAGCAGCAACGCTCCCTGTCCTTGCAAGGGAAGGAACAAGCCCAAATCTCCCCTCTGGAAGCTGCAGGGCCATGAAGATTGCTCGCAAGAGTAGCTCTGAAAACCGGGGAGATGAGCAGGGCAGAGCTGGCAGTGCGCGACTGCAGCCTGAGCTGTCACAAAAGAAATCTGGGCTTAAAACTGATGCTGTTGAGCCAGGGTCGGGTGAAATGTGTCATATGATTTTAGAAGGCAAATGAATGTTTATTCAAAAGCACCTCTTTCTTCTATAGAGAACATTGTGAGCATTAATTCCATTGGTCTTAAAGAAAAAATATTTCACCTGATTGGTACACTGGGCTTAGGTCAGTGTGGTAGAACATATCTATAAACAATGTGAACGGAAAACAAGATAATAGATTGGTTACATTCCTCTTGGACTTTTTCCCAGGCTTAGCCTGATAGAAATCTTTCTCTTTTTCTTTCTAACTGAACTGAGAATATCCAATAAAACCATCAAGAAGATGGCTGGTTTTGATTCTTCACCCTTCATCTTCTGGTTTGACTTGGAGTCAAGAGACTATCAGCCGTGAGCTGCAAACATGATGTACCTGACCTGTGCTGTATGACAGAGACAATGGCCACTTAAAAATACAGAAGTATAAACTTAGAGAACACTTCCCTCACTGGAGACCTTAAACAATTTCTCTCAGAGAGGTGCAAGGATCATTTGCAATGAATTTGACGCTGCTCACGCTATCTCCTACTTGGACACTTCCTTATGAAGCACAGACCAGACGACACAAAGACTTTGGGTCAAAGGAAGAACAAAGCAAGAAAAAGAGCTTCGAAAAAACTCTTACCTTGTGTCCGTTGTGCTGGGACTTCTCTGCCACCAGAAACCTGACCATGGCCTCCCATCTGCCCAGGCTCTGGGGGTCCCAGGCGGTCACCACCAGGATCAGCTGCTTGGAGGGCAGCTGCAGGTGGTGGGCGGCGTACAGGGTCCCGTCCGCCCTCACCTTGAAGTCCAGGCTGTTGGTTTCGTACCGCACGCCCTTGTTACCGGCACAGTTATTAAATTTTACTAGAACAGAGAGGAAGAGATGGGAGAAATGTGTGAGATCGGCATGATAAGGAAAGCAATCAAATACAAGTTTCAGACATTTAATTTTCACTGATGTCTTCTATATCTCTAATAACCATCAAGGAAATGATTTAACTGTTTCTTCGACCTTTCAGGAGTCCTCTTGTGCTTTATCTCTGTTCCCCAGGGAAGAAGTTGTAAGCCATTTTTAAAGTATTTGATACAGTTTCATTAGATCTCAAACACAGCTGTTCCCCATTTGTACAAGTGGATTTCTCCCTTGTCGCCATTATCTTTTAAATTCAACTGGAGTCTATTACCCACGCTGTGGGTATTTTTTTTCAGGAAATGTTCTCCATTTCCCTAACCCTTCAATAACCTACTTACCAGATAGCCTATTTGCACATTCTTAACTGAAATTCAAAAGCCCATAACAATTCCATTATCAGAAATATAAAAACAACAAAAAAATTTAACACAGAAATAAAAGTTAAAACCATTCTGGAACATGCATCTGCTGCTGGAACTGGACCCCCCCATCCTGACCTGCATTCCCACCTTGGCCAAACCCTCACATGTTACAGCTACTGCAAAAAGTAACTGTAAAACTGTGCTTCATAAACCGTAACGTGTCATTTGAAAGCCTACTTTGTCAGATCAAAGCTCCCTAGTCACTGATATTTCTATTTTCACCTTTTTTTTGGTCAAAGTCTTTCACAGTCTAGTTTGAAAACTATTTTTATTGGCATTATGAAACATGTCACATACATTAGACCAGAAAAAAACCTCCACCCTATTATATGACAGAATTGACAAATCTGATAGGAATTGAACCTGCAGCTAATAACACAGGAAACAAAACACTTTCTGCCATTTCAGTAATCCACAGGGCGGAACACACATGTGGTGAAGGAAAACATATTGTACCCGTAAAAACATCTCAAGTGAGTGAGAATGGATGCACAGCGCTCCAGCTCGGATCTCTAGACAGGTTCTCATGCTGAGATGATCCAGCCTGCCTTGAGATGAGGATGACTTGCTAGGCCAGCTCTGGTGGGCTTCAGTAGACATTTAATTCCTGCAGAAGAAGGGCTGAGTCAGATGGATCAACCCAGAGTGGCTGTGGTGGGAGAAGGGATGTGGGGCACTCTGAGTGAGAGGAGCTTCTGGGACAGTTGTACCCCAGCTGTCCCTTTGCCCCTGTACCAGCCACAGCTCTGCAGTGCTGCTCTGAGCTGAATCAAGGACTAATTGGGATTTAAATTAAAAAACCAACAAAACAACCATGGCACAGGTGAAAGAAAAAAGCAGCCAGGAAATGGCTGAACCCATCTGGCTGTCAAAGCCCCCAGGTGCATCGAAGTATGGAGAAATGAAGAGCAGACTGTGGTAGAGGAGAGGAAAATCCTTCCCCTCCTTCACCAAAGTGCACCCCTCAATAAGTGGGGTGCTGTGATCATGTGGTAACTGTTCATCTACAAAGGCTTGCTGTGCTTTGTGTTTATTTAGACCACTTTGGTACATTTTTATGTATGTGGTGGGAAGTGTTACCACATGCCGCAGCAACTGCTGGGCACAAACAGCGAATGTTGCACATTGACTTAAAAAAAATAAAAGTTATCTAGTACATAAAAACCACCCGAAAGCCCTGGATGAGAGTGAGCACACACATGGTTTGCTGGCCCCTACAAGAACTGGGAGAATCTCAGAGACCTGTCAGGGGAGATACCCTGGACCTTTGGGACCACCCTGCTGGGAGATCGCCTTCATCTCTCCGGAATTTCTGCAAATCTCCCCTGCATTCACAGCTACAATAGATATGTGTGAACATACCAAGCGCATCTTCACTTTTAAATGTTATTTATTTTCAGCTCATCACTTGGGTCACTGTTAGGAACTGTATTGCTGCACCCCTCTGCTGTGTAATGGTCATGTAAAACTCAAGTTCCATCCCTACTCCCCAAGTACCCACGTGTCATTCACTGAAAGACATTTAAAGAAGAGCAAGAGGAGTGATAATGACTGCGCATTAAAAAATATTTCAGAGCTTACTTTGATTTTATTGAGATTAAAAGAAAGCCCTACAGGAATCTGAAAAAAAGAAAAAAAAAAAAAAGCAAGCTTTCTATATGTGTATGTAGTGATTTCAGTATTCAAAGTACTTAAACATCTGCTTAAGACCCAGCTCGTGGCTCCAAGATGCTGCTCTAGTGTCATATGTCACTGTGTCGACTTTTATGCTCCATTATCTAAAAATGGCTACCTCGTAGACGAAGTCCCTCTGTGACTTGCTAATTACTTCCATTAGTTTAAAACAAACTTGACTAGAGACGGAGAAAATCCTGAGAGAAATCGTCTGAGTTTTTTCTTGTTTTTTTTTTTTTAAACAAGCACCTTCTCTGCCCCACATTGCTCCTCTCAGGTAGCACAGCTAGGTGAATGCTCAGCAAGGGATTAGCACAGCCAGCTCCTCTCCTAAGAACTTGTAGGAACTGCAAGAAAGGCTTCAAGGACACAAAGATTCCAGTTTCCAGTCACTCTGCACAGCAGCAATGGCCCTGGCTCACCTGGGCAGCGCTGCAGGAGATTCCAGCCCCACAGGGATGACCCTGCTTGGCTCTGTCAGGCACAGCAGCTGCTCTGGCTCCAGGCACTGCTCATACACAGCCCAGGAAACACACTGGAAATGCAGGAGAGCTGAGCTGCTCCCACTTCCATCACAGGGAAGGGCACAGCTCAGTGCTGGGCTTGGCAGTGCTGGGTGAACAGCTGGACCCAATGATCTTGGAGGTGTTTTCTAACCCAAATGATTCTGGGATTAGAAATCCTAAATCATCCTCTTTGTTGCCCTTTGAAAATGAGTCCTTAGGATGTTAAAAGACTGCTTTATATATGTATACACAAAGATCCACAAAACCTATAAACCTCATTTATACATATTTATATATAAAATACTTTACCCAAGTATATGTGTACAGGTTTAGGAAAAAAAATCAAGCTATTGTTCTGTAATAAATAGCATAGCTCAAGAAAAGGAAATATCATCCATATTTTCAAATTCTACCTCTTACCCCTCCTCTTTGCTCTTGTGGAAACAGAAATTAAAATTTCATTCAATGGCAGACAACTTTTTCTTTTTTTCCTTCTTTTTCTCCCTTAGAAATCTCTAAGTCTACATAATTTGCAGTTGATGCAACTTTTGACTTTCAAATAATGCAAAAAATAAATAAACAAATGTTGGCTGGATTTACTAGTCTTAAAACTCTCTGTGGACACAAATCAATCTTTCTTTGACCAGTCTGAAGTCTAAAGAACACTGTACAAATTTAACATTCAAAAGCTACAGCATCAGTAATTAGGATTTTGGATAAACAGCAGAATCACACATCTATCATTTTTACAGGATGGTAAAAAAACCCCAACGTTTTAAAAAATATGCTGGAAAAATGTTCAGTGAAGCTTATCGAAAGCTTATGCTGAAAACAACATCTAATACCTGATGAAAGGAAAACCAAGAAGACACTCTCATTAGCAAGCTTTTAGGTTTAACCCTTTACCCTCATCATTTTTAATTGCTTCTCTATGAAAGGAGGAAGTACAACAATTTGATAAGCTGAAACAGGTACTGAGTGATGGGCAGAGAAGCTGCAGGAGTCTGCAGCAAACTGCTGGGCATCTGAGAAAAAAAATGTATTTTACTTCAAAAAAGACACAGGGTGAAAAAAAAATTCAACAAGTTTTGCATTGTTCCCTTTTATTATTTAGCTTGTTAAGCTGGATGGACAGAGTCAAATGATCAAGCCAGGATCTTGAAAGATGTACGAATACACTGAACTTCTTGCCCCCCAAATGTCTGAGAGAAATACTGAATTTAATAGGACTATAAATGGTATAAACCAAAGAATTCGCTTTTAGCCTTATCCTTCTGGATTTTCCTTTGACTTCTCCTAGTCTATTAAAAAGTGTCCCCTCTGGCAAGCAGCATAGGGCTGGAAGAGGCAGGAGGGATAATACTCGTTTATTAGGATAAACCCCCTGGCAGGACATCATCCCACAGTTCAGGATATGGGTTCCTTCAGGACTCTGTTTTTCACCATGGTTTTGAGGATTATCTCCACAAAAGATGTTTCTTTCCTGATGAACTTTGAGCAGCAAACACACAGCACTATTTCCAGCAGGATCCATCTGCTTTTCAAGTTGTGTCTCTTGACCATCTCCCTTACACCCAGCGCACTGTGATAAATCTAAGCTGCCAAATCCACCCCTCACCCCTTCTGTGAACATCATTAAGGTGAGGATGGCTTAACTGCAACCTTTGGGATTTTCAGATGTCTGGGTAAGCTGCAGAGTCCTCACCATGCACAGAAATGTCCCTCCTGTGTGATCATGAGCAAATCACTTGAATTCCTGCCCTGGCACTTCTGGCCTGATGCTCCCAAATGTCTTCACTCATCCATCTCCTCTGGCTTCTGCAGGGGATTCAGTCCTGGACAGCATTCCCTGAGTGTCACCACACCAGAAATTAAAAAATCCCAAACATGTCCTGTGTGGAGAGGCTCCTGTTGCCTAAGAACAGGCATGAAACCATTCATTTAACCACAAAATGCACGGGCACATTACAGCCTCACAAAGTGACTTCTCCATTAAGTGCTAATGTGAAGCAGAGCGTGCTGTGCCTTGTTGGGAAGCTGCATTTATTTGGCAAAGTAAGCATGCAGCATAAAATTTTACACAGCCACATTTTCGAGGCATCCTTCTTTATGTTTGTGCAATCCCTCTGTGAGTCTGTGAGAAAACTGCTTTACAGCAGTGGGAACCAACTGCAGCTGAGTGAATTCCCCATGGCCACGCTGGAAACCTGGAGCAAAGCTGGGATCTGAGGTCTGGAATTCAAGCTGCCAGGAAACTGCCTCCATCGCCCAGATACAAGAGAACAAGACAGGAAAATTAGAAAGAAGTACTTTCAAAAAGCAAACAGAGGCAGATCCTTCTCCCTACAA